TTGGTTGGCACTAATCTACGTTAAGGTCTAGGTCACTAATATGGGCCGTGAGAAAATATGAACAAGGCTGAGTCAACAACCAATCACAGCAAAGTTAACGTGGCAAAATGTGATTCGCAGGTAGAGAACTCTATTTGTCAAGGAATCCCGAAACAACCAATCAGAAGCCTGCGTTTGTCTACCTAGAAACAACCAATCAGATGACTGCGCTTGTCTATAATAATGTAGTTGAAATATGTATAAATACGTGTTGATTTTCATAATAAAAGGATCTGTTGCCTGGCCCTTGTCTTCTGTTGTTACACCAGCACCTTTAGGCTACACATGTTATATATCATTGTGTATCATGAGTGTAATCTGAATTTGATTGTGCAACTCAGGTGTCGTCAGCAGTAGTAGTCATAGTAGTAACTGCATCCTTCTAGACCTCTGTAGAGTCCATTTTCTAGACATGCTCTTCCCCACTGTTATGGTCTATAAGTCCTGTCTTAAGGAGAGCCACAAACTGATGCTACGAGATATTGTCGACGACATATTTATACACATTTATGTGCATTGAGGGGAGTTATAATTCGTAGGACATTAAATTTGACTCAGTGGTTGAACAGTATCACGCTTGCCTTATACGTCGAAGATCGTGACTTCGATTGCTGTTACAATCATGGGTTGGCGTTAGTGAAATTACACAATATCTGTCCTCTACTACGTGGAATTACACGTGAATACATTGAGGTGAGTATGGCACATCGTTACATCAAAAGGGATATCATGACTAGGTCGCCTAAACGCTTACTGATAAAGTGAGTTACGATCAGTGCCGTATCTTAGAATGTGGCAACCACTCTCCACTATGCTTTCAGTTCCTTCAAAATTCTAAATGCAAGTTGCTGACAAGTGCCACTTAGTATAAAACCCATGATAAGGAGTTACTGCAGACTGTCTTCAAATATCGAATATACCCTGGAAGTGAGATGTGACGGCGAGTGTCCAACATCGTCCACCAAATTGCCTGCTCGACATACAGAATTCAGTGACTTCCTAATCAGTGAGGACTAGGCGCAAGTTATTCTGTACTCCATAGTGGTTAGTCAATCAGCTTCGTGATAAGTTTGGTTTCATCTGTATGGTCAACAGTATGACAGTACCCAACAATAACCCACCGGGTTTTCACCAACCATTAGTGGTTAATTTGGGGGATGGACGTATCGGGATTCTATTCACAAGCAGTGACCGGTGCAGTTCACCGATTCGTGTGTGGGAACACTCATTCACCAACCAATGTATGCATACGTAACGAATTGACTCGACAGAGAATCAAAAGAGCTCGGAATCTGCAACCCTCTTTTTGACAGTGGTACCTATTACAATATTCATCTTCGTCATGATACCTCTCTCTCTTTCTCCCTCGAACAATCCATACATTTATCGACCTTAATTCCCTTTTTATATAGCTACACTTCATCGGAATTAACAACCCGTCTACAAGAGGATTATAATACCCTTATCCACCTGATTAATTCTCAAGAATTAATCAACTTACCAGCCAACTAACTAACTATCTAGTTAAATGACTAACTAACGGAAGTGTGTGTAGGCGGTGCAAGATTAATGAATATTAATCATCATTGTAGTGTTGACGTTTCCCAATTGATTGGGAAAGCTGAGTAACTAACGAACTAACTAGCGAACCAGCCGACTAGCAAACCAATCAACCAATTATTCGTTCTTACTTCATCTCGCTTTCAAGTTCAACTATTCTATGCATGCTTTTCTCACCTGTGTGCACTTTGCTACAGCCTAGATTGCTGCAGCCCATTCACACTCCATCGTTTTGGATTCGAAGTTGAAGAGAACTGGCGACTAACATATCTCCAGTTCTCTCAACTGATTAATACCTCTGTGAAAGATATTCCTGTCTGTCTGTCTGTCTGTTGACTGACATATCTCCTTTTAAAATCAGTCAAATCCCTAAAAAGCCAACACCAATAACATCTACACTTAAGTGAGAAGGATTATTGTATTGTTGAGAACTTCAGATTCTTCCTTTGTTTCAGCATAATTTGAAGGTGATATACATCACAAATCAATACTGACTGCTTGATTGATTGACTGATGAGTTTAGGAAGTGAAATGACCACTAATCAGTCATTCACTACTACTTCCCTACCTCTTCATTTCATTTCCTTTTTCCCCTTCTTATCCCTCTCGCTCTTATTATTCTTCAATAAGAACACGCCTAGATAAATGACACAAGTTTCTAGCATTACATATTTACTAATAAATCAGTCATGCATAATTCGTATATGTTTACACATACATTTGTGAGATGTCAAATTACTTAATATAAGCAGTGCTTTTGACTGATGTAAGTAAATCATTACTGAAAGTGAGGTGCTAGTCGTTAGTTTCAAAGTCAGATCAGATGAACCACAATCGGTTTGCCTCTGACACCTTTACTCCTTTATTCCTTTGAGATTAGACTCGGTCAAACTAACTTTGATTCACGTTGTCGGTATCGTTTCGATAGAAATAGGGGAATAGAATGCACAGGAATAATTATACCTTTCGTCATGGTTGTGACATGCCAACCAACCAACTAACTAACTAACTAACCTAATCACTGAGTAAGTATCTCACTGACTGGCTGACCAACGAACCACACCAACAAATAAACGACAACAGGTAGATATAGGAGGGTAGACAGCGAACGGGGAGGTAGCAAAACACCCTCATCTTGAACAATAGTCCTTTCGAAATATATTTTCCGTATGTATTCATAATTACAATTTATGCTTAACAGACAGTCACTTCGTCTGAAATTCAATGAAACAACATGAAATTTTCAGTGTCTGGTGGGGGGTTGAGGTGGGTGAGGGGAGTGGAGTTAATAACATAGGAGAAATAATTATAGGTTTCCCATACATACACACACACACACACACGTATAATGTTACCAATTGTTTGATCACTTCCATATTATTAGATACGTTTATTTGATATAATTTATAAATACACATACACAGGCACAGTGAGTGATACGATATTAACTTTAACTGAATGATGAAGCTTCGAACAGGACTTTTATTGTTTTTTATCATCAAATCAATGTATTTGAGACGATATCCAGATTTGCTTTGTATCGTCTTACCACCTGCTGTGTTTTGTTTGCAATGTCAAATTTCTCTGAAATAGGTGTTTCATTATTTATACTGTCGGTATTTGATGTTATTTCGATGTGCAAAGATTCGGTAAATAAACCGTCTCTGTCTCTTCACCTTAATATATCACTTTTGAATACTTTTCCCTTATACCGCGTATATCACTGTCACTTGAATATGTTGGAATGGCGAAGGTTTTTTTCTAAATGTCGAACCTCATCAGGGTCGATCATTCCAGATCTTGCTAAATTTCTATACTCCGATAATCTAGTTGACCTTGATCTGTTACTAGTGACTGACCTGTCAGTTATTGCGTGATTTTCTGTAAATTATATTCTACCTCCTATTTGGATATATTGGAACAATCAGACGACACAATTTGTCTATGAATGAGTTGGCTGGTACGAATGACACCTCACTGCTAGACCTAATGAGACTCTTACATAAGATCTCTGATGTTATTTCCTCATAAGGCAGTATCGTTTTTGGTCTAATATAGAATTATATTTTACTGCAGTGTCTAAATTCTGTCCTTATATTCACTCTCTTACGAGTCCTGCAGAAATGGTAATGTAGATATAATTAGTATACACAGAGAGTAACGCTTTGGAGGAAGCAATAGTGATCTGTATGCACCAAATGTAAAATCCGCTATTGAAGAAGAAACTCTAGTAGACTGTGTGTGACAAATCTGGAAATATTCTGTTCTCATAACCAACAGATAATATAATGAGTACTTTCAAAAATGATTCTGGCTTAACCGGTTCAGATATGTGAAGGGAAAAGTGAAAAACTTGAATTTGCTATTATTTTTACCAATTATTATATGCATCCCAAATGCAACAAAGGGATTAGTGGCAAATCTACATTACACTGTGTTGTGTAACATCAAGTTTAATCAGCTGTACAACTGGTCAGAAGCTTCCATTCTCTCTTCACAATAACCTTCTCCAAGTGACTACATCTGGTTTCTACTAAATGCGCCTACCCGATGTGCGATGATTGTTAAAGGTCTTCTCTTCCCTTTGATTAATTACACCAAAGTGTTTGGCTTTAGTGGACATACCGGCTCCTAGTGCAGACGCTTTGACTATGTCTGGGGATTAACTTGAAATAATCCTGCGGATTGTGACTAGCAGTGGAATCCATGTCGCCTAGGGGATAACGTGTTGCTGTTTGTACTGATGGGTCCTGGATTCGAGTCTAAGTGGGAACACACTCACTCTCTGGAGAATACAGGTACATCCAAATGATGAGTCTCAAGTAGCACGAAATTCACATCCCGGCTTCCATTGCTAGTCACCACTCCTCAAACTACTTGAGAATAGGCAAGGATTAAAGTCTGCTGTAAGTAGCCTGTTATGAATGTTTTTGATGCTACATCAGATAATTTTAAAACAAACTGTTTGCATAGTGGCCTTTGGCCACACACACACACACACACACATGTGTTCCAAGCCCGATCCTCGATCACTAATGCACTTCTGTAAATCTCGCTTAGTCAGTAGCTAGCACAGTTAAGTGAAAAGTTTTTGAGGGCGATTAGGCGGGTAGGCGTGAGGTTAGCAACAGTGCACACTGAAAAAAACAACAAATAACTGGTTATCAGTTTGAAATTTATCTTGCGAATTATTCTATTTTTAGGCATGAATAAATTGGTTTTATCAGTCAGTGCGTAAAAGAATAATTAAATCTCACGTATCTTTTTTTTTAACATTCTCATCCGCATTACTTTGTTTTTTGTTTTAAATAATGTTTGTTTTGGTGGTGGGTGGCTGTGGGATTTAGACATTGCGTAATCAGTTAACAAAGCAAGCAATGATGCCATCAAAAAAATGCAGAATGAAGACAAAAGCTAATAACACTGACTACAAGGACAGATATGGTGAAAATGAAAGACACAAGATAATGGAAAAATCTTCAACACAATCCTTAACAGGTAAATCAAATGAGAAGCACGTGTCAAACAGGATTACTGATCTGCGTGTTGTAAATAATGGTGACAGTGGCAGGGGTCATGGTGACGGAGACGGAGGCAAAAGTTTATCTGTTCAGAGTAGATCCAACTCTGGTGAACAGAATCTATCCAATAGTCGAAAAACAAACAGTAATAATACAAATGAAATGGTAAGAAATTGAATACACTAACATTGAACGTCTTTTATTTCTGTCACAACATGACATTCACAGAAGAGGGTCTTATCAACGAATTTATTATCCAGCTGTACACTTGTATATATATGTGTCTTTCCAGTAAACTATATCTCGTCAGGAAACTTAAACTAAGGATTTGATTACTGAAGTGTTGATTTGCAGGGTTTTATTGGGTAGAGTTTCGATCACGAGGTAACATTAGTTTGAGAACCTGTCTGTCTCTCTATCTGGATTCAACATAGAACTTGGCACCGAAGTGCAGAATTTCGAGTTGCCACGTTCCAAATAGCACACAAAGGTAGACAAGAAGATTAGTGAAGAGAATCAATAGAGTTTGACAAGTATAAGAGTGAAACAGAATGGGTAATGGTAAAAAGGAATATGAAAGATTACAGAGATTGAATACATCTGCACTGGCCATTGACAACGATTTTGAGCCATGTCACCTATTGTCTCCAGCCACTGATTCTTAGAGTCTCGAGGGCCCCGACCCGGAAGTCTGCATCTCCCTACCTGACTCAGTTTAACTGTCATGGATTGATGCCATGTTTTTGTTTGGCCACCACTTACTCTTTTCCAACCTGCACCTATATCAGCTAGTAATGCCCATCGGGGGAGGCTGTGATTAGGTATGAGCAGCAGGTGACCTAGCCATCTCAATCTACGTAACTTTATAGCTTCGTCGATTGATTTTCCCTCTTTAGTTCGAGAACCATTTAAAAGCCTGGGAAAACTGGACAGCTGCTTCGTTCCATTCCAGGACTGTTTAGCAGTACTCACTCACCGGAGTTCAAACCTAATACTTTACGGTTGCAAGGCGAGTTTATAGACCGTTAAATCACTTTTATCCGACTCAATGGTCCAAGAATTCCAAGTTCCGCCAATTCACGAAATAGCGTGAACGGAAGGTAGTGGAAAGGTGTAGTAGGGAAATAAAAATTACTTAACGCCTCAAGAGTTTTTATAAGATAGAGTTTAACATCAGAAAATATAGAACAGATTGATATAATAACTGGGAGGTGACAGGGGAAGTGAAACAATGCCGGAAACTGTTCAAAGTGAAAACAAAGATAATAACAATCTTCATAACAGATGGAAAGGTATCTAGATTAAATAAACAAAATGAAAAATAAATAATTGTTTACTCTTCTATGACTAAGGTATAAATAAGGACTCTGCACAAACTTTTTTATACACAAAGATCTGGCTTGTTATCATGAATAGCCAAGATTTTCACTCTCCTAAGAAATTTATGATATAGGGAAAGTTGTTGGGTTAGAATGAAACTGATAGATGATCTTAAAATCAATGTTCGGGTTAGTTAAGTGGTGGAAGTCCAATCAAGTGTTCTGGAATAGAACTTCTCATACGCTGGAATGTATACTCTCGTTTTGTAACATAAAAATAACTTGATGATATTTTGTTTGGCAGTGATTACCAGTGGAATTAGTAGATACCTATTTCATCATATTCGGTACTCATTGGCTGAATGTAACTGCGTAAATCCAGTAAGTTGATGAGTGAGTGAGTGAGTGAGTAATAAGGTTCCTTGTGGAACTAGAACCCATTCAACACTCACAGTTTCAAACGGCACTGCAAGCCATCATGAAAAATAATACAACATTATGGTGACATTCAGATATCGTTAAAGTCTGCGTGGATTAGAAGCTGATATCGTCAAAAACGATATTAAGTATTTTTGTCTCTCAGGTGGTTGGATGTGGTATCGATGTACAGATTTTCATTTGGACGGCTTGATGTTTCAAATGCTTTCGTTGTCGTTTCAGAAAACACCGGGAGTCGAGCCCTGACCTACCTCACTGCCGGTATGCAAAGCCAGCTCCTCGACAGTGAACCAAACTTGGGCTTTCTAAATGACAGGCGGAGATACTCAATACAATAGTTTTGACAAAGATACGTAATATTATTTCTGACATTATTTGATTCACAAGTAACTTCAGATTCCCAGTGAGTAGGGCAGTGTTCTAACTCAGGCTGGAATTCCACCCTCACTTATCGTTTCAAACTCTATATCAGTCAGTCCAAATCAATTAAAACAAAATGCAAATTTTAGGAATGGCGATAGAATTTCACACACTATGCATACTTAACGGTCAATAGCGTTTTCGGAGTATACTTCTTTAACGTAGATTTCGTGTCAAAAACTTTACAACATCACACTTAGAGAACCACCGTAGTCAAGAGAGCACTGCTTGATAGCTGTATCATTCTAGTTTTCAAGTGATCAGCAGTGAGCACATACAGTTCTGAGAGGGATTGTACTACCCAGGAATTTCAGGTTTTGGAGGGGAAGTTCGTCAGCCATACAACAAAAAATTGCGCCTGGAATCCAATGACCCGTAAGTTCTAACTTTACTGATTTCTGACATATATCGCCACCTCTTTTTTTATGATTCAGTTTAACTGGTGTGGTTTCCTGACATGAAATAGTCTTTGAAATTAAAGGTAACCATATATATACTCCGCCACTCGCCGTATCAGTTCCCTCTGATTTATTTTGTAGACGAGTGAACACAAATCTGATGAATTGTTTTCACCAGTTAAAGAATATTCTAATCACAGTGAACAAGTAATTTTAAGTTCAAATATTTCAATTACTAAGAATTTAACCACAAATAACAGAAAACTTGAAGCTGATACGATGACGAATTCCTTAAATGCGAACAAGTCCTCTCCAGTTATACAGCCTATTTCAAACATAGCAAAAAATGAGAAATTCATTGAAATGTCTGCACAAGGTGATGATCAGCGGACAAGTGTACCATGTGTTTTAAAAGATTCTGATATTTGTTTAGTGACAAATGAATTATTTAGTCAGTCTGTGTCGGTTTTAGAAGATTTCAATGTACCCTTGGAAAGAAACTGTAATAATTATACAAAAGTAAGCAACACTTTTCCAGCTATGCACTCGAACTATTGACAGTAACATCATCACTTGTCGTATGTGTTCTTCTATTCTTACCATAGTGCTGCATAATTATGTAGTGGGGATTTTATTCCCGGTCGGTGATACACTAAATGACGATATATCTTGGAAAGAAGGAAGGTTGAACCTGACATTGACAGCAACCCCACCTCGTGAAAACAAGAATAAACCTACTAAAACTTCAGTGCTTCAGGCGCGGAGCCCAATGTTTCACTCCAAAATTAAAGGAATGACAAAACTGACAATTCGTTTTCCAGGATAAAAAGGGGTTTAGGCAAAAAATAATCTTTTTCGATAACTCTCTTTCTCTCTTCATTAGGTTCTTCATTTACATATATTTCAGAACAAAAATAGTTAGGGGGAAAACAACTGTTTTCAACAGATTCTTCTTCAGGCTCTGCAGTCATAAATCCATTAATTTAGGCATAAGGTATTTAGATAATCCGTCTAGAGGAGCTCGACTACAGCTTATATCAGTAGGTGAATCGGTATCAATCAGTACCAGAAGACCGGGTCTTTGCATACAGAACAAGTATGTTCAACCTCTGTGTTTAGCTTGGTCCAAAATAGGGTCAACATATCCCTCATGAACATGGACCCTTTAAATTCACAAAGTACGTTTAGTTCTTCTTTTTTCCTTTATTTCATTTACAAGCATTCATCTCTAGCCTTTTACGATTTCATGATCTTTCGTATGATTTCCACTAACTTAGGTTTACGTATAGTGCTTTTCTCTAGCTTGTTAATATATTGACATTAAATTCACTATTATCTGATAATTGTTCACTAATAGTAATCTTAAGTTTACACCATATCATCGTTATTAATTCACCATCAGTATTATTGTTATTAGTCATCCATGATCTTACGTCTTGTCTACCCAATTTGTGTGTTTATTTTTCTGTAGTGTTCATAAATGTCACTCTCTCACATCACTGATTACAATCACCCGTGAAACAATTGTTGATTGAATTATTTCATCTCATTTTATCTCGTGTTCTCACTGACGATGAATACTCTAAGTAATAATTAAAAAAATAACTGACTATTGTTTCATCCCATTTCATACTTGCTTCACAGTACAATTTCTGATATGATTGTAGTTTGCCTTTACTGATTGGGCATTGCATACTTAAGTTAACAAATTTCTGATTGTAGAGCCTGAGGAACAATTTATTGAAACTGTGATTGTTCTCCCTAACTACTTTGTTCTGAATGTATATATATATATATATAAATCCGGCAACTGAAGACGCTCGTGATCTTGATGACCAAAGTAATGAAAGTGCCTGAACAAACTACTTCTTTATAAATAAGTTAAGATTCTTAAGGTGAAATTTTACGGTTTCAGGTCTCTAATGTAAGAGATAAACACGTAATGAAGAATATAAGGATTAACCTTGGGAACACGACACGCAACTTTAATAGCTTTTACAACATCGAATTCATGTTCAGTATCTACAAGATGCTTTAAAGGCAGAGTTGAAAAACAGACCTTGTGTGTCTTTTGATTGACCATTATGCAGAATAATGTTTATAAATCTGGCAATGAACATGCCCAATTGTCTGCTCAATGCAACTCTTTCTACAGCAGTGGTCAAGCTAGTAGATACACACAAATGAGGCCAGGATTAGTTCGTTTATCCTTATTCATCGAATGCTAAACTGCAGTGGTCTAAGTTAGTTATCAGCCGGTTGATATGTTAATACTTATCACTTATTGTTGAAGAAATTATCACCAAAAAGATGGGTAAATTTGTCTGAATTTTACTGAAAACTGTCAAATGTATTAGACTAGAGTCACAAATGAGGGCGTATTTTAAGAGTAACTTTTTCTCTGGCGAATCCTTTTGTCTTCTAAATAGCTAAATGTGGATTTTGCCACATTGGATGCCTAAAATGTTATCGCCAAGCTAAGTGACTAATAATCGGAAGGCATATTTGAATCGGTACAGATGAACTTAGAGTCGTCAAATGGTTTTGATTACGCCCCCGTAAACACTACAAATTTATCCACAACGGTCCTACAGTAGGTTAACAGTGGCTTGATTAGCTTGATTGTTTTTGTCGTTGGCTACTGAAAGAGAGGTTAATTGTCTGCAGGAGATAACATTTACTTCTAGGTTTTAGTTGAATCTTGATGACACGCGCTTTTAAGTAAGAAAAGTTGATTCAAGCCGTTTTACTGTCTGTTTCCAATCATCTACAATCTAAGCTTTTTCTGGTGTGTTCAATCTAACCAACTTTTATTGTGTAGTAGTTTTACAGTTGCTATCTGCGTCACTTGTAAACTCGAAATTTTTTTCATGTTTTATGTTGATTTATTTCGAACATAATCACGAATTGACATCAAAGTTAGACAACCAAACATGGAAAAATGTGGAGTACTTACTGGAAACCTATTTCCTCACTATTTGGGGCTCTCCAGTACAAAACACAACCGTGATTCACTACGATATAGAGTGCCTGGAGTTCCACTTAGTGGAACTATGTCCACTGGGGTCCAATAAGTTGGGCATGAAGACACATAATCGCCAATAATACCAGTTATAGCTGTGGAGCTATATATATAGTGAATTAGTGTAATTAGGAATTCAAGCGGCTGGCCACCCCAGTGGTTTAACAGTTATCGGACTCGCCTCATAATCAGCAGATTGTAGGTTTCAAACCCATTACTACCGCATAATCTCAAATTAGAATGAAACGGTTGTCCAATGTACTCCCTGATTTCGGTTTCTCAACTGTAAGGTCAGTTAGTGGTCAAACTTGGAATCAATCTTCTCAGTTGAATGGAAAAAAAACTCCGTTGAAGAATCAGATTTTCTCTTTTTTTTTTTACTTCTACCCCTTATCAGATAACTGATTCTTCTGGAACGTATCTTATCGATCCACTGAAATCAGGTAATCAATGTCATAATGATATGTATGCATACTGCGCAGATTATGTGACAAGTAAACCTTCATGTGATAACGATATTTCAGTGGATCACTTATCATCTACCTGTAAAATAGTATCTTCAATAGACATTCCATATCAGCACATGCAAGACAATAGTGAATCGAATTTGTCATACGATATCGCCGCTGAAGCCTATTCAACACTAACCTGTCAGCTGGTGGTTGATGATGAGAAAAAAAATGTTTCAGTGGCAGTAATAGTAGTCGGTACTGAAGGGGGAGAAGAAGTGAAGTCTGGAGGAAGAAAGGATGAAGTCATTTTCCAGATAAATAATCCACTAATAACGGAGAGAACAAATCAGCTAGCTGAGATGATGAATTCAATTCAAGCATTTACAAATGACACAATAACTTCAATTGAGAATAAGTTATCAGCTGAAAGAAATACAATGAATATTTATCAATTCGCATCCAGTGAAATTAATCACATTTTGGTGAATATCATTGATAGAGTAAAACAGGTTGGTTATTGTCATTAAAATATTGTGAATTAATTTGTAGATTTTCAAGTCATTTGATTTGTACAGATTTGATAGATGTTTAAAGTTATATATCATAGATTGATATCAGTTATACAACCAAAAATGGAGAACCGTGATTTTGGACTCTTCACAGTGGTAAGCAATCATCATTCTACTGAAGGATGAAATCCGAGACCTTCAGGTTACGGGGAAAATTCAATGGTCAGTCAGTTGAGACAGAATCCAGTGTCCGATAAACTTTAATCACCGACAAAGCACTATATATATATATACATATATATATATGCATTCTTTGTTCGCCAATGACACTGTTTAGCTATCATGATACATATCGTGGTCATAGATCATTGAGTCGGATTTATGAGCTCACTTTATAATATGATGGTCCTGTGTTCAAAACCCAAATGAGTGGATAGTGAAGCAGAGTCCCGGACGAGGAAGAAATATCTGTCAAGCACTCCGAGCATTTCCGGCGGTTATCTACCTGGTGTCAGTTCATGATCAAACCTTTGACTAATCGGTTTCCTGAAAACCACAGTGGTTAGGACTCTCGCCAACCATGCATATGGTCCGAGGTTCGATCCCCTGCCGACGAACACCTGATATCTATGGTCGGCCTGCAAAATTTGGGATACCGATATGACATGCTGAAAATTCCATACTTGTACCAAAAATACAGTGTGTGGAATCAAGCTGTAAATCAAAAAATAAAAATTAAAAAAAAATAATTTGTGACCAATCAACAGCAACAACAACTAGCACCAATCACCATCAACAGGGAGGATTTGACGGAGGCAATCTCCTTCACTTATCCTGCCAGGAAGCATCATTTTAACCACAGCCAGCAGAACAGATGAAGAAGTAAAAATCAACTAGAATCAGAAAGGTTAAATACGTCATCACCAACCTGAAAACAGTTTGCAAATCTTCTGAACTCAGTCAGCATGAAGAACAAGATTAGGATTTTCAACACAAACATGAAATCAGTCAGTTCTTTCTTACGGGTTAGAAAATTGGCCATTGTACCATGAAACACACCTCCAACAGTTCACAGCAGATTCTCTTCAACGGTTGCCTTCACTGGCTCCATACTGAATATCAAATGGTCGACCGGCAAGAAGTATTTAGTAACAAGGAACTCTGGCTGACAGCAAACTAGTCAAGAGCCTATTGCGTCAACAAATATGTAGGAGGAAATGGAGATTTATGGATCAGGCGTAGATTGAGAAGGCCATCGAATGACATCTCTCGCATTTCAGGTCACCATTAGAGTGGAAACCCAATGGGAAACAACGAGTAGGTTATCGGTGTGAGGTGACATGGAGGAGATTGTGTGTGTTGGAGGAGGAGATGGGAGAGATTATGTTCAATTGTGGACCCAGATGGAGAGGACGTCAGAGAACATAAACAAAGTGGACATTTGTTGTTCCACTCGGAACCCAAGGGAATAATAATGATAATAATAGTCAGGTTTGTGAACCATACAGAAGAACAAACTTGACATCAATGTTAAAAAGATGATAATCTCTTTCGTCAGACTGTGTGTAGCAGCAGCTTGGATCTAGAGATTCCACGAAGAAAAATTAACTCAATCACTATAGAAACTTTAAAGCACCTATGCGTGACATATATATATGCCTCCAAAGCCTCAGGATGGTCGGGGGTGGGTGTCTTCCGCTGCGGGTTGGCCACCCCTCCGTACACCTCTCGAAATGCTCCCATATGACTGGGCGTCTTACATAGCCTCTCCTGAGGAAGTCCTACTCACTGCCTTCACGTGTCGGAGGTGTTTATTTCACCGAAGTGATAGGGCAAAAGCGGATGCCCGGCGCTCTCCACCGGGTTGACTGTCCATTGGATGACAGTCTAGGGGAGATGGCTAAACCCTGATTCCAAACCTCCAACGACTGGCGTATGAAGCTCACCGGAGCTCACCGGTAGGCAGACGTATGGACAAAGGGCTTATTGGATGTCCTGAATGTCTGGCCCCATTCAAAAAAAGGCGTATGAACCGAACTCCGGTCCCCGGCTGGCTTCCAATGGTTAGTGGACTCCTTACTCCACTCCTACTGCCTTGTAGGTCACACTTGTTTGGTTGTGTAAAGGCTAGAGCTGCACTCTCAAACAAAAGGCCGAGCGATGCTGGGGACATCACTCGTACCTAATTCCCACGAAACTTCATCAACTCTCTTACAAACATTCGAGATGTTCATGAAGCCGGTTCATCCTCCCGTAGGAGATAGCCGAAGTAAAGTAAAGTAAGTAAGTGACATATATATATATATATATATATATATATATAATTATTTGTAATCGGATTATGCTTATCATCAAATATTACTATGAATAAAATGTTAAACGGTCCAATAAGTTAACAGTGTGTGTGAAGATTAATCTCATCTTCTATTTTTTTCCTTGTTCTTTCATTAATCTCTTTTTGTCTCTTACACAAATATGAAATGAAATGAGCAAAAGAAATGAGGAATTACAAGAAAAGACGGATTATCTGAATCAATCTTAGGCAATACACCTATTTTTTTCACCTTTCCTTCTCTCTCTCTCTGCGTTTTTTTCCTTGGCATTTTTAATCCCCTTTTCATGAGATGATTACCCATCGTCATCATCACAAATTACAGGTAGTAGCGCTGAAGTTATAACATAATAATAGATCTCGAGTAAAAAACAAATAATAATAAATGAAAAGTTTTCCTTTTTTTATAAGAACTTTTTCTTTGATCAAATGACCTAATTCTCATAATCACCGTTTTTTTTTAAAAAAAAAAGAAATAATTTCCACCCAATTTAAATGACCGTGAATTTGTTGATTACTGTTGATTATTGTTATCTCTTCATAAATTGTTTGAAAAGATACTTAGAAAGAAGGAGAAAACGACAGGCTTTGATCAATCGATTGTGGCAGTCTTATCTAAATTTTTTCATCATTTACTCTATTCATAAACATGTTTCAAAGACATATTTGAATATTTATTATTTTTTTTATGCCAACTTTGTATCCCTTGGGGGGGGAAGTAGGGCTTCATGTATGTTCCACTCGGTTCTCTCCCTCTCTGTGTGTGTTTCACCCAACCCAACTGGCTCAACGACTACCTTCCCACTGTTACTTTAAGTTTTCTATTTGCTAATCTTCACATCATCCATTCCCAAGTCATTCATGTTCCAACTGAAGGCCCACCTGGTTTGTTATGTCACTCACCGTTCTCTACAGTATATATATGCAATACATCTCCATTAAATTGAGTCATGTATATCGAACAAAAGGCTTTTTGGCTTACTGAATCTTTGCCAGAATTTCTTGTTGCTAATTGTTTTGTAGTCTTCCGATCTTCAGTATGGACTGTAACGAGCAACTGTTGATGAGAATCTGCAGTAGTCTTTTGGAAGTGATCTTATTGACATACCAAGTATCTGGAGCATCGAGAAGTAGTTACTGACCCAATGGATAATTGGAACTTCTTGAATCACTGGGCCATTTGAATTTCTGTCGTGCACAATAGTTTTTTACTATTTCTCTTTATTTTAAGCATCCATTTGTCTTCATGAGTCTTCAAATTTACTCATGCACGTTTTTAATTGTCTTGCAACCTAATGCTGTGTATTTCTTGATGACAAAAGAGAAATACAATTAGGGGGGGTTATTTTATTCTTCAAGTGTAACAGGATTGCGTCAGCAGAGGATGTACTTTAGAGTGCAATTTTACTTGACGATCCTGAGTGAATGGAGAATATTATGCAAAATAAACTTTGCTGAAAATTCTGTAAACAGTATAGACTTTTTGTGTTGTTATTATTACTGGTGTCAAAGATCTGAGACGTGTTCTTCATGCTTGGTGCAGTGGATTTCCACGACGATTTCAGAGTAATAAGTGTATATCTTGCTTTTTCGAATCTTGAATGACTTTAACCACCTGATCACTGCCGCCTACAGTTGAAACGTTACTGCCTAGATAGAGGTGATAGAGGTGGCTTCTAATCAAATCATTAAAGGAACTTCAAACCACGTCAAGCACTCAAAACAAACTAACGTGAATGAGCGAATTTAAATTTTAGATAGAGAAAATAATAGAGTCGTTCTTCTAGTGTGATTATGAAATGGAATCTCTCTTCCAGTAGCTGAATAATATTTAGTGCGTTTTTCTGGTAGCTTGAAGGTCGTAGATTCGATCCTTTCGAAAGAGATATGATGGGTGAGTACTGTCGAACAGTCAAAAAGAAGTAGGAGGTGAAGGGAAAAGCTCTCCAGTACTCCTTAGTTTTGCTATTAATAGTGTTCTCTGAACAGGTTGGTTTAGTTGCGGAGCTTTCCTCGTCCTTCTGGACAACATCTTCAGCGCAATTTTTAAATAAAGTAATTATTATTATTATTATTGTATCCTTTAGTTCCTAGAGGAACATTGGGCTTCAGCTGCGCACCTCCATTGCCTTCGGTTTTCTGACAACTTTTTCACCCTGCTCCAGGTATGTCCACATGCTTTCATCTCCTCCTCGCATGACCTCCTCCAAGTCACCCTTGCACTGACGACCAACTCGCCGCCTCTCTTTCGGGTTCCACTCAAGCAATGGCTTGTCTAGTGATGTCACTTGATGGTTTCCTCAGCGTATGGCCAGCCAATCCATCTCCATTTCTTCCTGCCTATTTGTTTCACAATCGGTTCCTGATTGGTTCGCTCCCAGAGATCCCTGTTGCTGATCTTTTCTGGCCATGTGATCTTGAGTATTGAGCGGAGACAGCTGTTAAAGAAGGTTTGAAGTTTGTTTGAGATGCTCTTTATGACGCTCTGGCCAAGTCTCTGATCCGTATAGTAGCACTGACTGACTTCACATTGGAGTTGAAAATCCGGATCTTATTTTTGATGCTGAGTGATGTTGACCTCCACACAGACTTAAGAGTAATGAAAGCTTGTCTTACTTTTCCGATTCTGGCTTTGATGTCCTCGTCAGTTCCGCCTGTAGTTGAGACGATGCTTCCCAGGTAGGTGAAGGAGGTTGTTTCTTTCAGGTTCTTCCCACTTATGCTGATTGTTGTCTGTTGTTGCTGTTGGCTAGGAATCTTCATTATCTCTGTTTTATCTATGTTCACGTGAAGTCCTATCTTTGATGCTTCTTCTGCCAACTTGTTACTTTTCACTTGCATATCTTCCAGTTTATGAGAAATCAGACATATATCATCGGCGAAATCCAGGTCCTCCAAGTCTTTTGTGTCAGTCCATTTTATGCCTGTTCCCTCGTTGGTTGCCGTTGTCTGTCGCATTATCCAATCTACTGCAATTAGGAAGATCATTGGTGATAGTAGACAGCCTTGCCTCACTCCCGTCCTCACTTCGAAGGCCTCCGTAAGTTTCCCGTTGTGGATTACTTGGCATGCAGCATTGTCGTATAACTGTAAACTGATTCAAATTTTTCCATGAGTGATATAACTGCGTCTCCCAGTAACCACCTTTACATATATATTGATCATTTATTATTGATGTGAAATTCCTACAAGCCTGGTATTCAAACGAATATGTGGTTAACAAACACGTTAATATAGACCAAATATACCAACTAATAAAAAGTAAATCATGTGACCAGAAAGTTTAAAATCCAAGTCAATAGAAAATGATCAATACATATGTAAAGGTGGTAACTGGGAGGAGCAATTACATCACTCATAGGAAAAATTTAAATCAGTTAACTTTATGTTAAAATTGCACTGAATATGTTGTCCAGAAGGATGACGAAATCTCCGTAAATCATCCACCTGAACCACAGATCTTCTTTATTACTCCTTAGTTTTCCCTGTTTTGTTGTCTTTGAAATCAGTTAGTCATCTAACTTGAAGTTTGGAGTTGGAATTCATAGGCCATTGGATTAGATCTAAAGGGTCTAATAGTCTATGGGTTCGCCTTGTGACTGGAAGGTCCTGTGTTCCAAACCCGGCGAGTGCGCACTGGTGAAGAGTCCCAGACTGGGACGAAACACCTGTCAATTATTCCCTGGTTTTCCGGTGGTTTTCTAACTGGTGTTAGCTCGTAATCAAACTTGTGACCAGTCAGTTTCCTGCAAATCAATACTTGAATAACTTAAAATCAGTGAAATCCCTATAAACCATCTGTAATATCAGTTGTTTTGATTTACTTAAGTTTTCCAATAGAAAACTGGTTTTTTAACAATACAACCCTTTGTTTCTGTTGTTTTTATTTTACAGAATGGTGATTCATTGACACCTGAATGTATAGATGCGGTGAGTGAGATTGTTTAAAGAATAGCAAATCGGCATTATTGACTGTGAAACTACTTACCTTGGATAATCTTTTAATTGAGATAGACTACTGCTATCAGCGATGAATGTAAAGGCGGTATGAAATAGGAATCTGAGTTATGCAAGGATTCCCATTAGTTGCCTTCAACTTATGCTAGTCGGAAAAGACAATAGCTAAAATATGAGATTGAACTACTAATCAGATGGGTATTATCTTATTGCATTCACATCACACGTAATGATGCTCAGGGTCATAGGTATAAACAATATATTCCTGTTCGCTTATCATTATCATAATAGCCCCACTCCCTTCCTTACTGGGTCTTCACCCAGGAATCTTAATCATATACTGAATATAGAGGAAAAGCTGGTCGTGCAGTTAATTGATGAGGAGACTATCTTAGGTAGTTCTGAGTAAGCACTGGTGATTGTAAATTTTTCTAGTTGAATTATCCACTATTTTACTCAGCTGATCTCAAGTCGGGACAAAAGAGGGAGTGTGGGGCTTGGAACTTCAAAGCATATATATATATATATATATATATATATATATATATATATATATATATATATAAACTTATTCTTCTCTGGAACCGGGGAGATAAAATGATACGGACCTTTAAAAACCTTCGGGAATCTGTTTTCGGTTGATATGTATTCCTTCAATGACAACAAAAATAGCAAGGCGACACTTAGTGTCTCTACACAGTATTTGAGACTGTCAGCTTTCAAATGAAGTGAGAGTATATGGTAAATCGAAAAGCTAGGAATCTCTGGCAGCAGATGAATTTATAGAAGTGGAGCCTGCAAACTGTCAATTGATTAGCCAATAGAAAAGATATCAGAGGGTAGAGTGAAATGAAGGTGTGCTCCAGAATCCCTACGTTCCAGTCAGAACCCGAAGAGAATAGTCACTTTATTGTAAACAATACTTTTTTTTTGTTAAATATCGAATGGTATTTTCAGAATTGTACATTTTTCGACAACAGATCATCTCTATAAGTAAATAAATTAGCAAAAATAATATAAACTAATATGGAATTATGTCTGACTTTTTTTATTTCAAAGTCCACTGGAGTTACAGGCTAAATTTCAACTTCATCTCCACCACCTCAACTTCAGTCATCAACATTCATTGTTTACATTCAGTTGCATGCGCATATTCATTATTTTTTTTTTCTTCAAAATATCATTGTTTTAATTTCTTTTTTGTCTTCATTACGTTATAACTGATGAACTGTAGGAATGAGTGGTGATCTCTGCCCTCCTCTATTGTATATATAATATCTAACTGACCATCTTTAGGTCATTGTATATGTATTCTATTTCATGATAGGCATTAAGATTATAAGATATAGGGGTAATTGCTATTGGTGAGCTTTTTGGCATATACTAGAACACACATGCAAGCATGCACACACATACACACATAAGGCATGTATACACCTCCATACAGACACACACACATACAGTGAGATAACATCAATGAACTGTGTTAACATTTAAGAGATAAGCATATATACAGAAATCTGTCTGTTATTAGATCACAAAATAATCAAATATGGCAAATTTCTTTTCTTAAAAAAAGTGGAATTTTGATGGAATGGAGAAGTTTGTAGCTCAAGAGAATGATTTTGATAGTCAAGTATTGGTTTGTAGGGGATTTGACTGGTTGGGGTACAGGATTTCATCACGAACTGACATCGGTTAGAAAACCATTGGAAAACCTACAGAGAGTACGCATCAACAGGGGGCGTCGAACCCTAGGCCTTCTGATTACAAGGCGAGCCCTTACACCCAACCTTCTGTACCCTGCTGGTCATGACTTCCAAATAGAAATCCAGGTTACTAACTACCTGCCTGAATAGTACCAGTAATTTTGATTTAACTGTGGTGTTCTCTGATGGGCTAGTTTTAGATTTAACTGTAGAGCTTTCGTTGTCCACCTGGTGGACAACATTTTCAAAACAGATTTTATTATGACATGAAGTAATTTGAATTCTCCCTTCATGAATGATGTTATAATTGTGTATCTCTTGACAACCTCTCTATTCGTGATTGGTTGTTAATTTACATCTACCTCTATTGATCGTTTTTATTGACTTGGAATTAGAACGTTTTTTTATCATGTGATTTACTTTTCATTAGTTAGTAAATTTGGTCTGTAGTAATTGTTGTGTTTGTTAATCGCTGGCTGATTCATTTGACTACCAGGCTTCTAGGAGTTCTCTATACTATCGTGATCAAATTCGTGTCCATAATTACCTACACGTATCGATATGAAACAGGGATACATATCGTGCCTTTATATTTTTGGATTCAAATTCGAAAGCGATGTCGGCTATTTTGACCGATGTAATGTTTATCAGAGCTCATGAAGTTTATTTTGTGAGTGGTATTAATCTTATCTTCTTTTTATGTTGCATCTTTATGATTGGCACAATATCGAATGTAGTGATTGCGCTGGTTGACTTGCGTGCTATGTTAATTTAAAACGGTCTTAATATTCTAGCCGTTGTCTAGAAGGACAACAAAAGCTCTACAATGAAGTCGATCAATTCAGAGAATGGAACCAAATTTTTGTAAACTTGATCAACGTATCAACTTACAAAGATGAATTGCCATAATCATTCAGGCGAATTCATCTTATAGTTAGTCACCAGAAGTAAGTTGTGATCAGTTTTCACATCAACCGAAATCCCAGCAATACAAAAACACTGGCTGAGGATCAAACCCCGAATCATATGCGTGGTCAAAGAGTATCCTGCCGCCGAAACACTGGCAATAAGTATTAGCCTGTAAGCCACAAGAGGGGCCTAAGTGTGTACTGATGAAGAACCTGGAAAACCGAAAAACAAATCAGCAGTCCAATACTACGTGGTGACTTACAATGGGGGGTTTTCTAACTGAAGCGTCAGTTAGTCAATGATCTAACTTGGAATCGGTCGCATCCCCCCCCCGCTGGAAAAAGATCAGTACTTGAAAATCAGTCTACCGTTCTTTAGTAATTGACTGAAGGAATCGATTGCTTATAGTTCTAGTGAGAAGCCGCGACCACCAGAGTCCACCAAGTCTGGTGTGAGGACCAGTAGCGGTGGCAGAATATTACTGCACAAAGTTATTATACATATAATAACAAAACTTGTGCACTATGGTAGAGTGTAATTGCATTATCGGCAAATTTTGTTTTGATAAAGTCTCATAGGTTAGAAATCATAGTTTAGTCATTGGATTTTAACCCAGTGGTTGAATGGTTGACGGTGTGACCTCGTAGTCTGGAGGTCCTACGTTCAATCTGTGCCGGTAGTATGATGCCTACAATCTGCTAACTATACCATATTAAGGATGAAACCTTTATTTTCTAATACTCTCTTGCTTTGAATTTTTGTTATTTTACCTAACTGATGTCGGCTTGTGAAAAGAAACAACGTTAAAATTAGTCCAATTCTTCTTTACTACCCAACACTTAGAGAAAATAAAACAATTAAAAAATAAACTCTGTCTTATCTCTAATCGAATAGTGTTCAGTTTCTCCTTATCTGAGCTTTTAAGATTGTCTATAGCTATGGGAACCTTTTAACTTGGTTCCTATAACGACTAAGTTTATTTTGTGCGTGCATGTGTGTGTGTCTCGAATACTGCTTAAGAACCAGCAGGTGACAAATTAAATGGAAGGAAAAGTAAAGAATCATTAGTAACCATGGTAACAAACACTAACTAACATGTCCAGTGTGTTCATTACAGGCTTTGACTAATCAAGAAACCCTTTTAACTGTTTTCTTTTTGTAAAGTTTCATTTGATGCTTTCACTTTACTCACGAATAATTTTTTTGGGTGAACTAAAGAGTTTTCACTATTTTTTTACATCATTAATCAATAATTTATACTACTTAAACACGACGATTATGCATTTCAAAATACTGAGATTACTGGGAAACAATACACATCTGTACTTGAAATGAATGTTTAGATTTCTAACGTATACATTTTAGAAGAACATGTTATCAGACAGTGAAGTCTACCATCGATGTACTCACGTGAAACTTGCAGTGTCATTGTTACTAAACCTGACAATGAAGAGTGTTTAGCTGTGGGTTTGTGAAATGATGAAAACTGGCACGTGAAAATGATTTAAAGAGAAAAGAACACTAAGGTGAGTGAAGACATCCCTTCAGTAGTTACATCCTCAAAAAGCTGTACGTTAGCAATTATATATACATCAGTTTAGACAGTTTACTTACATGAGCTCAGCCTATCATTATTATCATCAACTAAATGCTGATGTGTATGTCTCATTAGCATAAAACTCGTAGGTGTTCAACTTCTGATGGATTTATTACTGCTTACCATTGAAGAGTAGCGTCCAACTAGGCTGAAACAATTGTCCAAATTTCCTCGGATTTCGTTACGAAACTCACATCATTTAAAGAACCTATAAAAATCAAGAAGAATTATACAACTGTTTTGTCCATCTTTCTCAGGACTCTTTAGCAATCTGCACTAAGTGACGTTTCAACCCTTACTTACTTACTTACTTTACTTCGGCTATCTCCTACGGGAGGATGAGCCGGCTTCATGAACGTCTCGAATCGAGTTGTTTGTAGGAGAGTTCATGAAGTTTCTTGGGAATTTGGTACGAGTGATGTCCCCAGCATCGCTCGGCCTTTTGTTTGAGAGTGCAGCTCTAGCCTTTACACAACCAAACAAGTGTGACCTACAAGGCAGTAGGAGTGGAGTAAGGAGTCCACTATCCATTGGAAGCCAGCCGGTGACCGGAGTTCGGTTCATACGCCTTTTTGAATGGGGCCAGACATGCACCAGGACATCCAATAAGCCCTTTGTCCATACGTCTGCCTACCGGTGAGCACCGGTGAGCTTCATACGCCAGTCGTTGGAGGTTTGGAATCAGGGTTTAGCCGTCTCCTTAGACTGTCATCCAATGGACAGTCAATCCGGTGGAGAGCGCCGGGCATCTGCTTTTG